TCCTTGTTGAGCCAAAACCAGAATTGGCAGCTCTAATCGAAAACGAGTGCGGACAAAAATCTTGGCAAGGTATTATTTCACGACTTTGGCCCAAAGCCAAAATATATTGAAGCTATTTTACAGGAAGTATGGCTCAATACATCCCAGCATTGGAGGTTCTTGAATCTTTGGATTTAATGTTGACTGGTTTCACATGCTATGCTGATGTCTCCACTGTACCTGGTCACTACGTTTTTTACATGGAACTCAAATCAAAAGTCAACAACAATATCACTAATGTTCTACCTCTTGATGAAAGTGTACTGGTGAAATGTTGTTGCGTTATGGAGGAAGCATTGAATGGTGCTTATAGACGCTTCAGAAGCAAAGATGAATATATTGGAGCTCTAGAGATCAGAGTGGTGCAACAAGGAACGTTTGATTCTCTCATGGAGTTTTATGTCTCTCGAGGTTCTTCTATATCTCAGTACAAGACGCCTATGGGCATAAACTCTGCTGAGGCTTTAAAGGTTCTTGAAGACAAGGTTCTTGCTCGGTTCTTACAGTGACAAATCCCCTCCTATCTGATCCACATATGATCTGTTTTCTATATTATGATGAAGACCACCCACAAACAATTGTTCACCTACTTGAAGAATTATGAAGCAGCAAAGTTATTAGGTGAGGGTGGTTAATGTATGTAGAATTCTGTGGTTTTAAAAATCGTCAGTCACACCAATAATTGTGTAATGGGTCTCACACCAGTAATGGTATTTTATCTGTATAAGACACCCCTGATATGGGGGTGGTGATAACAAGGAAAACAAATATGAGTTTAGGCTGTGATCTCACTGTTCTGGAAGACCTAACCTCAAATGCTAAGCAAATACAAGACCATGTATTGACCAAGATACTCAAAGCTAACGCAAATACAGAGTACCTCCAACGGTTTCTCCAGGGGAGCTCTGATAAAGAGCTGTTCAAGAAAAACGTACCGGTGGTGAGCTATGAAGATGTTAAGCCTTATATCGATCGTGTTGCAAATGGAGAACCCTCTGATATTATATCCGGCGAACCCATTACTGCATTTTTCAGAAGGTATATTCACCCACCATATATTATCATTGAATAACAAGAGTTTCTGATCGATTGAGAGAGAAAAACTCAGCGGCTGATAAACTTTGCATTAATATAAGTAGTTGTGTTAAAAAAAAAAAACAAGAGTTTCTGATCTACATATAATAGATTTGATTTTTTTTATTTTTCTAAAGAGTTGTAGTTTTTTTTAAACAAGAAACTAAAAGAGTTGTAAATTAATGGTTATATAGCTCTGGAACTTCAAGTGGGAGTCAAAAGATATTTCCTGCGAACAACATCTTCTTTGAGAATATTCGTATCATCTATACCCTAGGCTCTCTCGTTATGTCCAAGTAAAGCTCCACAGGCTTCCTTCTTTTATATATTTGACGCTTTCATGACAACGTTGGATTGATATTTTTTATTTATTTTGATTAATAATAAAGGTCTTTCGATGGTTTTAAGCAAGGAAAGGTGATTAGGTTTACGTTCATTCACCCGATGTCCACAACTCCTTGTGGTTTGCCTCTTGCTCCTGCGGTAACAAGCTTTACAAAGAGTGAATATTATAGGAGCCTGACAACAAATAGTACAAGCCCTCTCCAGATCATACTGTGTCCGGACACCAAACAGAGTATGTACTGTCAACTTCTCTGTAGTCTTGTCCAGAGAGAAAAGGTTGTAAGCGTGGGCGCTACGTTTGCTTCTGTCTTGATTCAAGTTATTCATTTTCTTGAAAGTTACTGGAATGAGTTGGCTAGTAACATCAGATCTGGTCATGTCAGCGAGTGGATCGACCTTAGTTGTCGAGACTCTGTCTCTACCATCCTTGTTGAGCCAAATCCAGAATTGGCAGATCTAATCGAAAATGAGTGCAGACAAAAATCTTGGCAAGGTATAGTTTCACGACTTTGGCCTAAAGCCAAATGCATTGATGCCATTGTTACAGGAAGTATGGCTCAGTACATCTCAGCATTAGAGTTCTACACTAATAATAAACTGCCTCTAGTCTCTAAAGCTTATGCATCATCTGAAGCATATTTCGGGTTAAATTTGGAACCTCTAAGCAAACCACAACATGTGTCCTACACATTTCTACCAAACATGTCATACTTTGAGTTCATAGATGTTGATGTCGATGGACTAACAACCGAGGGCGAGATTGTTGATCTTGTGAATGTGAAGTTGGGTCACTACTATGAGCCCTTGGTCACAAACTTTTCCGGTAAGGTCCTTTTGATACGCCTTTTCAAAACATATGATTATTTTTTGTTGACATATTTATTAATCTGTTTACTAGGTGAGTTTCCCGTGTTCATGCACGGGCATAAATATTTATAAAATAACTATATTATAATAATTGATTGATATTTACTTAAATTTTAAATTATTTTATAATTTGTAGGTACAATTTATATTAATATTATATTAATTATATATATAATTTTAGATATATTATATTTCGTCAGTTTTATTTCTTTTTACGGTTGATTTAGTTATCATATGGATATATCAGCTTCTATGTATTTCTCTGAATTCCACTATAATTTTTTTTATTCTAAATATATTAAATTTTTGATTAATTGTCTTATTTACATTTATACCGGTTATTATCTTAGAAATATAAGTATATCTAATAAGATTATGTATAACTTAAGATTTTTTGTGCTTAGATAGAAAAAAATATAAAAACTCAATTGTGTGATTCTAAATTACATACATAAGTAACTAATAAATTTTTGGAAGCTTATGAACACATATCAATATTTACAATATTTAGATTGATTGGATGGTAAACTAAAATTTATTTTAAATATTTTTAAAATAAGTATTCTGATTTACTTAAGTATTTTGATTATGGTTATATTAAGTTCCACAAACATAAAAACAGAAAATTAAAAATTAAAAGAGTTATTAAGAAAACATATAATTTAACTATTGAAATATAATATATCTACTTTGTTAAATTATATAGTGTTATGATATTTTAAAATAATTTTAGTTATTTGATATCAATGTTTATTATTAAAATTTATTTTTAGTTTTGTTTTTAATATCTCTTAATATATGCAGTAAAAATGTTATTGTTTTTGAGAAATTATATTATATAAGTTAAATATAATTTATATTTGTTGCTGTAATTGTAAGATATTATAGTCAATTAAATATACTAAAAAAAAAATTCAAGAATACTAATTATAAATCAAATTGTCAATTAAACATATATCAGTTTATGTTACTTAATTATTTTATGTAATCATCTGATAAAATAGATAGATATATACAAAAATAATTACTTTGAAAAAAAAAAATATATATATATATATATATTTATTCTTTAAAATTATTTTTTAAGAACAAATATTTATTTTTCTAATATCAAGATTAGTTGTGTAAGCTTTTTTTATGGAATCACATTATATACAAATATTGTTTTTCATCTAAGAATATATAGATATAAAGTATTTTATTAATTCAAAAGTATATTTTATGTTATTTAAAATATATTTAAATTAAATATTACTATTTTGTAAACTTTCTTTTTTTATGAAACCATATTTATATATACTTATATTTTCGTTTTTAAATAGTTTTATAAACTTTATAAATGTTTCCTTTTTATTTTATATTGTTATTTGGAAATTTTTTAAAAGAAAATAATAATATTTAATCAAAATTTTTAACTCATTAAATGCATCACAGTAATTAACCAGCGTGAGGGTTAACGTGAGCGCGACACATAAGAAAGTGATTTCTTAAATAATATTATAAAGATTTATCGCTTAAATATACATGTATTTTCATAATATTTATCAAATTATATGTTGATTTCTAAAAAAATATTAGAAAATAAAGTGTAACTGATAAATTTTTGAATGTTCATGAACATATATATTTTAATTATTTTGAAAATATATTTTATGTTATTTAAAAATATATATTAATGGGGGTATTATTATTTTGTGAACTTTCCTTTTTAATAAACTCATATTATATACATATATTTTCGTTTTAAAATTTGTTTTAAAATTTTAGACATATTTCCTTTTTATTATATATGTTATTTGGAAAAAGGTAAAAAGGAAACTAAATAAAAAAATTAAAAATAATCTTAAAATTTAACAATTCATTAAGGGTATCTATGTAATCAACCATCGCAAGAGTTAACGTGAGCGCGACACGTAGGAAACTGACTTCTCAAATAATATTATAGAGATTTGCTCACTAATATATTTAGACATATATGTTTTGTTTTTCGTTTGATTCCAGTTTGATTTTTCGTTTTTCTTGTGTGCAAGAGATATAAAAACTGCTTGGTTATTTATGAATCTAGGCTTGATTTTTGGTTTTGGTTCGGATAACAATGCTAGGAATCAGTTAAAATTTTGAGTTCAATTTGGTTCTGATCCGGTTCTTGTTTTTTGGATAATTTCGAGTAATAGGGACAAATCAAGGGGATGTTAAAAAAGACTGCTGTTTTAATTGTATTGATGATTAAATCGAAATTACTTATATTTTTTTTTGGTTTCATATAATGTTTTTTTTAATGTTTGTGTTTGTTAGGTTTACACAGATGTAGAGTTGGGGATGTTTTACAGGTCACTGGGTTTTACAACATGCCCCCTCAGTTCAGATTCGTACGTAGAAGAAATATGATTCTAAGAGCAGCCCCATTAGAAGGTCTTAAGGGGTTCAAAGGCCCGAGTTCATAGGGAGTGGGTATTAAAATTAAATGAAAAATGGGCCATAATCCGTGAACCGCTCCTTACGCATGAACCCGTATCAAGCGGGTTCAAGACACGCGTCGACTCATCGTTCCAGCCTTACCATCTCATCATCGTCGAAGACGGAGATCCTTCCACGATCATTGCTGTTCCTGAAGATTTCGATTACGAGAGAAAGGGTTAAAGAGATGTATTTATCAGTTGACCAACTCTTCTTACATGGACTCTCTCAAGATTCTTGAGGCTGATATTGAGCACGCTAATGGACTGTAAGTCTTCTCATTCTATCTGAGTTTACTTTTTTAATTTTAGTTTCTGATTTTCTGGGTTTAGGGTTTTGATTGATCAAATTAGCAGTTGACTAACTAAGGAATTGAATCAGCCTTAGGCTTTTGTTTGATGCATATTCTTAAAAAAAAATTGGATTATTGCAGAATTAGTCCAAAGTTTTAAACTTTGTTGTATCTGTGTGATGTTGTCTTTTGAAGCATATGTTGTTTGAAGTAAATGGGTTTAGTTGATTAGAAGGATATTAGTAACTGATTAGAGTTAAAAAATTTGATTTCAGGGCTGCTGAGATTCCAATGGGAAAGAGCAGTGTGAGACTTCAGATGAAACTGGTTTGCAGCAATTTGACTCCTTTCTTCATTTTCCTCCTACAATAGATGGATTTCTCATGTCTGCTTCCAAGATACTTTGATTTCTTCCACATACTCATCTACAAGGTGCTTACTTTGTTACCATATGTAAGTTTCCTACACAGATTGTGCTTGTGTCTGAGCTGTGAAGCTGATTGTTTTTCTTTGCCTTGTATTCAGGTACGTGCTGATGGGCGGTGGAATCGATCCAGGTACGGAAGGAAAGCTACAATCAGAGAGTTTTACGGTTAGTCTTCAGCTCTTTTTAACACCATTGTGTGTGTGTGTGTGACTGCGTGTTTACTGTTGCCTTAAGTCTTACAGAACAGAGGATTTGGTTATGTGTAGGTGTTATATTACCATCACTAGAGCGTCTTCATATCAATTTCTCTGACTTACCAAGCGACAACTTGTGATATCCCAATCCAAAAGCCATCACCAAGAAGAACTACGAAATTGAAGGCAATAGATTCATTACTAACAACGTTGAATCTGAAAGAGAAGAAGAATGTGGTATCTGTTTAGAGCCATGCACCAAAGTGGTGTTACCAAACTGTTGTCACGCAATGTGCATCAAATGTTACAGGAACTGGAACACAAAGTCTGAGTCATGCCCGTTTTGTAGAGGGAACATTAAGAGAGTTAGAGGATTATGTATGTTTCAGATTGTGTCACAGGAAAGCATAGTTTTCTATACCATTCTACACTTGTAGCAGTCACTGGATTATGTATGTTGCACTTTATAAATATATGGTTTCCCTTTGATTCTCAAATGAGCAACTCAATTGTCTCTCTTTCTTTATCTCTTTGTTGCATTATCAAAAACAAAACAAGTTTGACAATTTGGTAATCAAGATCAATAATGATTGTATGTTTCCAATTTCTCTATGTATTCAATAAAAAGTTTTCAACATTAATGTATTCTCAATGTATTCAATAAAAACTTTTAAAATTAATTTACAACTATTTTTTTCCAATATTCTCTTTGTATTGAATAATATTTTTCCTCCAAAATAAAAATTAAAAAAATTATTATTTTATTTCTAAGAACCCGGACTTCGGATTCACTAATGGAGACGCATAATTAATACGGGTTCATCACTGTTCACGACCCCACCAAAAAAATATTAAAAAATCCCTATGAACCCCATAAGGGGGTTCACTAATGGGGATGCTCTAAGCGTCTATGTAGAGTCAACGACTGAAGAAGATCTTTTAAAGGCGTTGGCTCAAGCGACAGTAGTTCTTGAATCTTCGGATTTAATGACAACTGGTTTCACAAGCTATGCTGATGTATCCACTGTACCGGGTCACTACGTTTTTTACTTGGAACTCAAACCAAAAGCAAACAGCAATATCACTAATGTTCTACCTCTTGATAACAATGTATTGGTTGAATGTTGTTGCGTTATGGAGGAATCAATGAATGGTGCTTACAGGCTCTTCAGAAGCAAAGATGAACATATTGGAGCTCTAGAGATAAGGATTGTGCAACAAGGGACGTTTGATTCTCTCATGCACTTTTTCGTCTCTCGAGGTACTTCTGTAGCTCAGTACAAGACACCTATGTGTATAAACTCTGCTGAAGCTTTAAAGGTTCTTGAAGACAAGGTTCTTGCTCGGTTCTTCAGCGACAAATCCCCTCCTATCTGATCCAGATATGACGTTGACCACCACCAAAAACGAACTAGATCACATGCTTAAAGAATAATGGAGCAATAAAGCTACCATCTTGTGTGCTTCTCTTTTGTTGCCGTGTTTACTGTTGTGTTGTGTTGTGTTGTGTTATTGATACATTCTTATTTCCTGTTTTTATATTCTTCATTGTTGGAACGCACTCGGTTTGGATTCGTTATTATTGGCTTGTTGACTTATTCTGATTCTATCATTTTATTCGGATAAATTTCATAAAAATAACCTAACTAAAATTTAATTAAGTTTTTTTTTTAATATCTGAACTTTTTATCTATTGGAATACCTTAACTGATTATTGTTCATTTAATAAAGTAATTTTGAAAATTGTGTATAATTCAACCTATATTTATTTTAATCAGAAAAACTGATAAATGTCAAACCACAATTTAAAATCTCTCAAAATCAAAAAAAAATCTTTAAAATTCAAATTTATTTTTGAATTTAAGCAATAACTAAATTTTGGATAAATTTTGTAATATTGTTTTAAACAAAACTTAAAAGGAAAAGTTCTTTAAAAATATCATAACTAAATTTCGTTAAACATTTAGTAATAGACTAACTCTTAAAACTGTGCATAGTTTAATACTCAAACTATATTTTAATAAAATATAAATAAGTTATAAACGAAATCTAAAAAAGTCTCTAAAATTCAAACATTAATCATAAAAGTTACTAATTTTGTTTTAAGTTTTAGGATAAGAGTAACTGAATTATTGATAATCTTACAAAATCTATAATATTGGTTTAGTTTTAGTTTCAAATTAGTTTGTTTTGTGAAGTTTAAAACTGATTTATTAATTTTATTCATAATTAGGTTTTCTAGATTTTTTAAATTTATCCAAAATATAATTAATTTTATTCTTAAAGTATAAAATAAAATTTGAAATTTCAAAGATTTTGTTTTGAATTTTAGAGATTTTTAAGTTCCCTTTGAAACTTATTAATACTATTAATTAAAATAAGCATAGTTTGGTATTAAAATGAGCATAATATTAAAAATAATTGTATTAAAATGAGAAAATAAATATTTTAGGTATTAAACCAGATAGCAAAAAAAAAATGGTTAATAGAATACTTAACAAAATTTAGTTGGAGTGTTTTTATAGACTTTTCCTTAAAATAAATATAAATAAATTAATATTAGGTTTCATAAATTAAATTAAATTTGATAAGAAAAAAATTAAAATGTAAAAGTTTGAAATTATCCATAATTTATTTTTTATCATTAAAACCTAAAAATAAAATATATTTTTTAAGATTCATCTTTTAATTTGGAAGATTTTTAAAGTTTTCTTTGAATCTTATCAATATTTATGATAATAATAATAATAATAATAATAATAATAATAATAATAATAATAATAATAATAATAATAATAATAATAATAATAATAATAATAATAATAATAATAATAATAATAATAATAATAGGGGGTTTATTCAATTGAGAGTTTTGAGCTGATGTGCATGACAAATACAAATCCAAAGTTATTAAAACATAAATTTTAAATTTTCATACAAAATCCAATATTTTCTTAAAATAATCTGAAATCTACTACTATTGAAAAATACAAGATGTGAATTCTTAATTTTTTCAAGTGATTTTAGAATGTTCGGATAGATTTTATTAGGTAAATAAATAAATATTCCAATCTCATGGTTTTATGTGAAATCTTAGAAGGTCTTTTAACAAAAATCATATTAAACTCTCAAGTTCGTATAATATCATATAAAAACTCACAAAAAATAAAATCACTTAAAAGTTAAAACATTACATTGAATACAACCTACCATAGTTTGAGTATTAAAATTAGCACAATTTTAAAAACTAGTGTATTATAATGAATATAATAATTAGTTGAGGTATTAAAATGGGTAAAAAAAAAGTTTGGATATCAGAAAAACTTAACATATTTAATAGGGATATTTTTATGAAATTTTCTCTTTTATTAATTAGTGTCTATGAATGAAGAATTTCAGAAAAAAATGATCGCTGAAGAAAAACTTTAAATTTATTTCTTAATTAGAGTATTGGCCAATGAATGTCCAGCCTGCCTTGTATAAACTATACATATATGTATATCTAAATCAAATCGTTTTCCGGCTTGACATTTAAACAACTTCATCATCAGTAAAAAGAATTTGGGAAAAATGATCAAAATCATAATCTGGTTGTATACATTAAACTAGTCTGGGTACGTAGTCCATCTTCGACTCTGATAAAAAAAAATCGTCTTCCCCATGCTTGCCATTTGAATAAATCAAAAGATCGTGTTTCCACGCTTGTCGTTTTAAAAACTTTTGCATCTGTATAAGATCTTATCTTAGGAATCATCAGGGACTTTGGAAGATATCCAAATCTTGTTTATACATTAAACTAGCCTTCATTGAACCGATCCACGCGTTGGCAAGCCTGGCTTGTATAAACTCTAATAGTTTTTTTATCATTGCAATTTTAAAACGTTTGCATCTGTATAAATAACCCCCTGAGTGAGTATTGGTGAATCAGACTAAAAAGAACAAATATGAGTCGTGTAGGCTGTGATTTAGAAGAGCTAACATCAAATGCGAAGCACATACAAGATGATGTATTGACTAAGATACTCAAAGCTGATGCAAACACAGAGTACCTCCAACAGTTTCTCCAGGGGAGCTCTGATAAAGAGCTGTTCAAGAAGAACGTACCGGTAGTGAGCTATGAAGATGTTAAGCCTTATATTGATCGTGTTGCAAATGGAGAACCCTCGGATATCATTTCCGGGAACCCCATCACTGCGTTTTTCCTAAGGTAATACACCATCTTATCATTGAATAACAAGAGTTTCTTATATTTGGATTAAGCAAAAAAGAGTTTCTTATATTTACATAAATATTTTTATGTATCTAAATAGTTATGTAAGTGTTGTATTCAATGGTTATTTTAGCTCTGGAACTTCAAGTGGGAATCTAAAGATATTTCCTTCGAACAACATCTACTATGAAAATATTCAAACCATCTGTACAATAGCCTCTGTCACTATGTCCAAGTAATTTCCACATGCATCCTTCTTTTATACATTTGACGCTTCCATGACATCGAAACGATGGATTGAAATCCTTTTTTTTAATATTAACATTAAAGGTATTTCGATGGTTTTAAGCAAGGAAAGGAGATGAGGTTTACCTTCTTCCATCCGATATCCACAACTCCTTGTGGTTTGCCTCTTGGTCCTGTCATGACAAGCTTCACAAAGAGTGAACATTATAGGAGCTTGGCAAAAAATAGTACAAGCCCCGACAAGATCATACTGTGTCCAGACACCAAACAGAGTATGTACTGTCAACTTCTTTGTGGTCTTGTCCAGAGAGATGAGGTTGTAAGTGTTGGTGCTATGTTCGCTTCTGTCTTGGTTCAAGTTATCCATTTTCTTGAAAGTTACTGGAAAGAGTTGGCTAATAACATCCGATGTGGTCATGTCAGCGAGTGGGTCACCGACCTTAGTTGTAGAGACTCTCTATCTATTCTCCTTGGAGGCCCAAATCCAGAATTGGCAGATCTAGTCGAAAACGAGTGCGGACAAAAATCTTGGCAAGGTATAGTTTCACGACTTTGGCCCAAAGCCAAATGCATTGATACTATTGTTACAGGAACTATGGCTCAATACATCCCAGCATTGGAGTTCTACTGTAGTAGTGAACTGCCTCTAGTCTCTAAACTTTATGCATGTTCTGAAGCATTATTCGGGTTAAATTTGGAACCTCTAAACAAACCACAACATGTGTCGTACACATTTCTACCAAACATGTCATACTTTGAGTTCATAGATGTTGATGTCGATGGACTAACAACCGAAGGCGAGATTGTTGATCTTGTGAATGTAAAGTTGGGTCACTACTATGAGCCCTTGGTCACAAACTTTTCCGGTAAGAGTCCTTTTAAAAATTTAACAACATTAATTATATTTAGTAATAGTATAAGGGAGAGTGTATTAATTAATCTGGATGGGCTGAACTATATAATATTGTGTATTTAATTCAAAAATTTACAAAAGAAATTGGGTCCATGCAAAATAATTTATTTTAGTAAAGAGAGATTAAATCGAAATTGCTTATATTTTTGGTTTTATCCAGGGGCGTGGGCAATTGTTGTGAACAAAGGAATGAATCTCATTAACTATAAGAGTTTTCTATAAATGAATCAATTAATTTGTTTTTGACCCCATATCCGTTCTTAAAAAGTTTTTTTTTATCCTTATTATTTCATCACAAAAAAGGAAAACCCAATGATGGAAAACATTTTATTTCCATTTTACTGACAGAATATTCACTGTTATGTCTCTTTTTAACTTTAAAATGAAACCAATTCCACGTTTCCAAGTATAAACCTTAACGAAAGCCATATGTTTTGATGTCAGCTAAAAGATTATTTAAATCATATGCTTTGATCTTAGCTAAAACAATTATTTATTTTGCATCTTTTCAAAATCTAGGTTTCAAAAGTAAATTTCTTTATTAAATTAAATGTTGTATTATAAATAATAGAAATAATTTTATCAAGGTTTTAATAACAGTTTGAATAAATCTATGAAAAATATTTATCCTTTTTATTTATATTTATTTATTTTGGCTCATACAAAATATATAATGACCCCGGTTAAATATATTTTTTGCTCCGCCACTTATTTTATCTAGGGTCTGTTTGTTTCACCATCCAGATGACTCATATGGATGGAGATAAGAGTTTTGTTTGTTTAGACATTAAAAGTACAACTCATCTAGATGGATCATTCGGATGACTTTGAAATTTTAGGCTTAATTTTGAAGTCCATTTGGATGGACCAATTTGAACCATCTGGATGGAGATGGAGATGGAGATGGTTCTTCCAAAATTGTATAATGTCTATTATACCCTTTATATAATTCATAAATTACAAACCTAAACATACTATTATTTTGTAACTTATATGACAAAACCACATTTCCTCAAATGACAAAACCACATTTCCTCAAATGACAAAACCGCATTTTTTCGCCAAAACCGTAAAAACACGTTTTTCCGCCAAAACTGCAAAAACGTGTTTTCTCGCCAAAAATCACAAAAACGGATTTCCTGCCAAAACCGCAAAAACATGTTTTTCCGCCAAAACCGTAAAAACATTTTTTCCCAGCTAAAACCGCAAAAATGTGTTTCCCGCCAAAACCGCAAAAACTCGTTTTTCCGCCAAAACGCATTTTTTCACAAAAACGCGTTTTCCGCCAAAACCTCAAAAAAATACGTTTTCCTAGCAAAACCACAAAAACCCGTTTTTCTGCCAAAACGCATTTTCCCGCAAAAACCGAAAACATGTTTTCCCGCTAAAACCGCAAACACACGTTTTCCTACCAAAACCGCAAAAAATTCGTTTTTACGCCAAAACACGTTTTCTCGTAAAAACCGCAAAACGCGTTTTCCCGTAAAAACGTGTTTTTCCGCCAAAACGCACTTTCTCGTAAAAACCGCTAAACACGTTTTCCCGCCAAAACGTGTTTTTCTGCCAAAACGCGATTTTCCGCGAAAATGCGTTTTCCCGCGAAAACGCTTTTTCCCGCCAAAACGCGTTTTCCCGCCAAAACGCGTTTTTTCGTAAAAACGCGTTTTCCCACCAAAACCTGTATTCCCGCCAAAACGCGTTTTCCGCAAAAACGTGATTTTCCGCGAAAACGCGTTTTCTCGCCAAAACGCGTTTTCCCGTAAAAATGCGTTTCCCGCCAAAATGCGTTTTTCCGCCAAAACGCGTTTTTTGCTAAAACCACAAAAACGTGTTTTCCCGCCAAAACCGTAAAAATACATTTTTTTGCCAAATCGCAAAAACACATTTTCTTGCAAAAACGAATTTTTCCGCTAAAATCGCAAAAATGTGTTTCCCCGCTATAACCGCAAAAAACGCATTTTCCAACTAAAACCACAAAAATGTGTTTTCCCGCCAAAACCACAAAACCCCGTTTTTCCAAAAAACTCATTTTCCCCCAAATCCGCAAAAACGCATTTTCGCGTCAAAATTATAAAAATATATTTAAAATTAATATCATACATATGACTAAATCAAAACAAGGGTATTTTAGTAATTTTTTTACTAAAATCATCTAGATGGAGAAGAAAAACAGAGAAACAAACATGACTCCATCTAGATCATCTATCTAGATGGACCATCTTAATGGACAAACAAACAATCTCAAAAATGTGGATGGACCATCTAGATGAATCATATAGATGGATTAGCTGGATGGAGATGATAGATGGTGAAACAAACAGCACCCTAATGTTTTTTTTTTATGTTTGTGTTTGTTAGGTTTACACAGATGTCGAGTTGGGGATGTGTTACAGGTCACTGGTTTTTATAATATGACACCTCAGTTCAGATTCGTACGTAGGAAAAATACGGTTCTAAGCGTCTATGCAGAGTCAACGACTGAAGAAGATCTTTTAAAGGCGTTGGCATCTGCAACTGTCGTTCTTGAATCTTCGGATTTAATGTTGACAGGCTTCACATGCTATGCTGATATTTCCACTGTACCGGGTCACTACGTTTTTTACATGGAACTCAGAGCAAAAGTCAACAATAATAGCAATAATGATCTACCACTTGATAACAAGGTATTGGTGGAATGTTGTTGCGCTATGGAAGAATCATTGAATGGTGCTTATAGGCTCTCCAGAAGCAAAGATGAACATATTGGAGCTCTAGAGATCAGAGTGGTGCAACAAGGAACGTTTGATTCTCTCATGGAGTTTTATGTCTCCCGAGGTTCTTCTATAACTCAGTACAAGACGCCTATGTGTATAATCTCTGCTGAGCCTTTAAAGGTTCTTGAAGACAATGTTCTTGCTCGCTTCTTCAGCGATAAGTCCCCTCCTATCTGATCCAGATATGATGATCACCCCCCCCCCCCCTACATGCTTAAAGAATAGTTGAGCTCTAAAGTTACCTGGTGA